TCTTTCCCTCTCACAACCCTCTTTATTGTTCTTCAATTTTCTTAGTAGTTTTACCTAGGAAGCAAGGTTTGAGGCAAATATAAAGAAAAGATAAAAGAAGAAACATATATGGGGAAAAAACATGAAAAATATTAACCCTATACCGCATTTTTTAGGACCATGGGTGGAAGGAAGAGTGATAATAAGTGAGGAAAAAAAGAAGACAGAGAAATTGACAGACACAAAACAAAAATAAAAATAAGAAAAATAACAAGATAAAATGAGATAAAAGGAAAAAAAAAAAAATGGTGTACAATAGTAATAACTCAAAATACATGGCATTGTCCATTTATGCTGAGAGTAAGACAACCTCGGTGCAGAAAGTGAAAAAAATTGGAAATCCAAAAGAGTAAAGTCATCTAGCAAATGGGTTGGGTCGAGACCACCTTTTTTACCCTTTAAGTCCGGTGTTTCCATATATGGGATTTCTTGAACGGTTGGAAAATTATTGGGGTCTACTTCAATGAATTTTTTTTTTCTTCAAAGACAGTTTTTTTTTTCTCCATGGTGTAGTTTTATAATAATTGACAAGTGGTGTGTGTGTGTGGTCGAGTTTGTGCTTGATGCTAATACATATAATATTATAATAATAATAAATATATGCACATGATGGTGAGTGCGACAGAGACTAGGACTTGGGTGAGGAGTCATTGGTCCTATCATGCACAATTGCACATTGTGCTCTCATTTGTTAGATCGCTTTCATCATTCACTCAGACAAACTACTCCTTTGGTTTCCCTTTCTGGGACGCGCTTCTCCTCTCATCTCTCTCTCTCATTCCAATTTTCACCCACTACACTGTGTGCCTTATCACCCTCTCTTGTTGCATACACAACACACTTTCCTTTTCTGGTATGCTAGTGGGTTTGTTATTCATCTGCTTGGAATTTTCTACCTCGCATAGCTCGGAGGTATATATGTAATTTTGTGTTAGATCTTCCTCCCATGTGAAATTTCAGCGGCCGATCCTCCCACATATGGTTGTTTTGTCTTTACCACCACTTCCATATTTAATTCAATTTGACTATTTATAGTACGATAAGATGCTTTTATAATGGATGTTTTTAAAATAAATAAATAAAGTGTATTTGTAAGTATGCATTTGCTTGTATAAAAAAGGGAAAATACTAATTTATACATGCAATATCATTTTTGTGTGTTTATTTTTTTCCATCAATATAGAAAAGGTTCCTATATCAGTTAAAAATGTATTTTACATTTGTTATAAAATTGATGTAGATGTCACTATGTAAAAAATAAATAATTTTTTTACATTAATTACATTTTAATCAATGTAGAAGTATAAAAGAAAACATAGTGAAATCCTTGCACCTCACTTACCCCAATTTCAACCACCACCTCTTGCCACTTCCTCCCCCTCCTTCAACTACCACTCTTGTGTACCTATGCATGAAACTTCCACACCATCCCTCCCTCTCATACCCTTAAAGAAATTAATTTGTATTATCAATACCAATAAGATATATCTATTTTTTATAGTTTATCACTTAAGAAATTCATAGTTAAACATGTTTGGTTTGAAACAATTTAGAGATGGGTGATCTTTTGGGAAGTTTTTCAAAAGTGTGTGAGTGAGGACAAAAAATGTTGAAAAGTTCATTTGTGAGATCAATCATTAATCCTAAAGGAAGCCTGACATATTAGAAAGGACTACCCATGGAAGGTTCTGACCAGTAAAGGATTTTGACTAATAAGGAGTTATATAAAGTGTCACCGTGTGAAATGTCATAGAGTGGAGTCACTAAAACGTCAAATTTCAAGAGTGTTATAAATAGTATTAGAGTTGATCTTCCCACCTATTATGGTGTTGTTTGAGGACGGACTAAGCAAAAGTTAGTGAACTTGTAACAACTTAGATACATCAGAGTGAGAGGGATCTAAGGATCTAGCCACCACCTCCTGACACTTCCTCCCTCCTCCCCTCCAACCACCACTCTTGTCTACCTCTCCATAAAATCTCCATGCCACCACTTCCCATCAACCTTCCGCCACTAAACCCACTTCACACCACCTCACAAATCTCTGTATCATGTCTCTACGAACCCGCACTTTAGCCAACCCCTACCCAAACACAAGTACCTTCCATACACATCCACCTAAGGCTTCCTCTTCCTCCCCTCAACTTTGATCACCCACCCCCATGACATTACTCTATGAAACACAAATAAAATAAAATTATAAGCTTCAAATTTATAATGTTTCATTTTGAAATTTAAAACACATTGCATTTGTTTAAATTAGAATCGATATAAAAATATATTTTTATATCAACTCTAATTTGAACAAATGTAAAATGAGTTTTCTTACATCGTCATTTAAGAATTAATATAAACTAGTTGATTTAAATTACAAAATGTCATTGCGTCACTTTCTACATCAGTACACATTGATGTAGAAAGAGCAAGGCAAAATGATATTTTTCACTAATGGTTGTAGATGTAATATTCATTTTTTTAAAAGGGGTATTTTTGTAATTTTTATTAATGGCATTTTCGCAATTTTATTAAAGTTAGAGGGGTAAATGGGTAACTTGGAACGGGCTGTTCCAAAATTGGAACGGGCCGTTCCAAGCAATAAAAAGACACTAAATTTTAAGTTGGGAACGGGTCCAGAACAGGCCGTTCCAACAAGGAGAACGATTCGTTCTGATTTTGGAACAGGCTGTTCTGGAAAGAGCACGGGCCGTTCCGGAGGGAGAACGGGTCGTTCTGAATGAGTCTTGGAATGGGCCGTTCTGGTTTCGGAACAGGCCGTTCCAGTTCAAAATCTTGTTTACTAACTAATCAAGACCGAAAGTTATGGTAACATAAATTGACGTTAAAGCCTTAAAGAAACAAGTAAAGAAGCAATGTAAAGAATACAAACAAAGTGGAAGTCTTAAGGAGACAC